TGCACTATTCGAACGGTCCCAGTGCATTTACCAAAATGAATATATTAGGAATAGGTTTTACCCTTTTAACTGGCACAAAAACTGACACCTTTATTCAAGGCAGCTTTTTGAATTGTACGCCTTTTGGCGTCTTCTGGTCCAACACCAATTGAGACTAGGCTCTAAGAAAAGCTGTCTCGGGTGTGGACCAATCAAATTCAAGGACAGTGCATATTATCAGAGTTGTCTTTTTTGTTTGTATTCTGACTGCTTGTGTTGTGGTTTTTGCAAACATGATGCCTTGATTAAAGGTGTCAGTTTTTGTGCCAGTTAAAAGGGTAAAACCTAGTCCTATATCTTGTTTCTGGCAAAGGAGGTCTCATAATGTAAATGCTCACCCCGAGCCCTCAATACTCTGATGGTGCGCTGTTTTTGAGTTGTACGCCTTTTGGCGTCTTCTGGTCCAACACCAATGGAGACTAGGCTCTAAGAAAAGCTGTCTCGGGTGTGGACCAATCAAATTCAAGGACAGTGCATATTATCAGCGTTGTCTTTTTTGTTTGCATTCTGACTGCTTGTGTTGTGGTTTTTGCAAACATGATGCCTTGAATAAAGGTGTCAGTTTTTGTGCCAGTTAAAAGGGTAAAACCTATTCCTATATCTTGTTTCTGGCAAAGGAGGTCTCAAAATGAATATATTAATTTACGATGTCAGTTATATACCCGGGAAAGTGTCACTGGGACCTCAAGACTCTCTTTCAATAGGGTCCTGCATTCGGATGTCGGGGCAATTCCTTTAATAAATCTTTGGCTTCATGTGGTAGGAAAAGAGAGCACACAGACAGAGAAAATCCACCAGATTTGCTATCACCTGGCCGCCGCACAACCAGGAGGTGGCATTTATGTATGCATTAATCTACATATATATTTGTAGGCACTCCGTTTTGCATACTAAAACAGTAACTCTGCTGGTGCTATTAAAATATGCAGCTAAAACCTTTTCCTCTGCTCCAATAAACCAGAATGGCCTAGCATATTGTAAAATGTTTTATTTTTAATAGCATTGCAATCATGCTTTTGGCATCATTCATTTGAAACTGAAGCTAGCAGTAGATCACCCTGTGTCAGAGACAGTCCAAAATATGATGGAGATACAAATACTTCTGAAGTAATTTCAATAAGCCTCTGTATACAAACTAGGGGCACCACTTTTAATGCACTGCAAAGATTGTCCATCGCATGCTGCTCAAACCCAAAGTCTCAAATTCTGGAATTTATCCAAAGTGAAAATACAAACATGATTTCACGTTTATTTAACCTCTTTATCTCTGTATACACACTGGGAGCACAACTTTGAATGCCCCGAAAAGATTTGTAAGTTGCATGTCATTCAAACAAGCATATTTTTTTTTACATCTTAAGAGCATGCATTGCTCCAAAACTAAGTGAAGAAAAAACCGTAATGGACCGTATTATTAGTGTGTGCATTCGGTCATTCGTGGCCAGGATGAGCCCAATCGACTCGCCACAGTCGATAAACATGTTTAGCCACAGGTCGTAGCCCGGATTCGAAACCAGGATCTCAGCGGTGCTGCTTCAGTGCTCTCTGACCCCAGAGCCACCCGGCAACCTCTTGCTCGGCTTGACGGTTCACATCTGTGCATACATTGTCATGGAGAGCCGTAACGATGCAGGAATGCCAGAAAGAAGCTTTCTTAATGAAATTCCTGTCACATCGGCGGGTGTCCTGTTCATGTTGCAGAATGGAGACCTGATGAAAACCGAATCTGATTTTCTGCAGTCCCTTCACATGTACAGCCTTTTGGTCAATCCACTGCTGGACGAAGGGGCATCTCATCCTGCACAGCACGTGGAGGTTATTCGACCACACCGCGCTGGTGACGATTTAGTTCGCTGAATAGGGGAGCATAGACATGGGAGCCTAGTATAGTACAATGGAGATATCTGTACTACCCTTTAGTCCCCAAAATATCCGCAGATACGCGCAAACTATACAGAAGTTTACACGTCCTGCTGATAACGGCAACCGCCTACCAATCATCAACCGAGACCTCAGCAAGGGACATCGCCACCGATTCAAGTCCCGACCCCCCCCCCCCCCTCCCCTCCTGGGATCGCGCTGCTGTCACCATCCCAGAATCTCACCCAGACCCAGAAGAATACTGGCAGAGTAGAACATGGGCCTTTCAGAATAGACACCCCCATTGGAGACCCAAACACTGTCGCACACCTCCTGGCTTTGACGTTCCCTCCTCGAAGACACCGGTGGTGTAACCAGCAACCACATCAGAACACCAAGAGGCCCGTCTCCTTCACAAGTGGGAAATTAAGGACAAGCCACAGTCGTGCGATTGTGGCCACGCAAGACAAACTATGGACCATATCGTAAACCACTGAAGTCTGCACTCCTTCAACGGAGCCCTCTCGTGGGTAGCAGACCTCGACATTACCATTTAGTTCCTGGACATAATTCCATACGCAAGAATAGATCTCCCCACAACATAGCCCTGCAACTGCCTGTAACAATTCGTATGCACGGCTGTAAACCATACGAGCACTATCCAGGCTCAACCCTTGCTTAGCTTCCCAGCTCTGACGAGACTGGGGGCAATGCGGGCGAATTGCTTCATCGGTGTGTGTGGCGTGATGCACAGTACTGCGTATTTTCCGATTAACATGATCCATTGTAGTTTGACACGTAAGACTTTCGCGACCAATATTATTCAGAATAAAGTTTGTTTTGGGTTAGATCGTGTAAGTATAAATGTGTCGTAACCCGCCATCACCCGACACAGCCAACCAGTAAGGTTTGTCATGTAAATCGGCACGTTTTGTTAACGTGACACACCTTACTGGTTGGCTGTGGCGGGTTACGACACATTTATACTAACGCGATATAACCCACGAACCTTTATTATGAATGAGCCATTGTAATGTATGTGATTACATTGACACCCCCCCCCAAGGCTCAGAGTGATGACTGCACCTTGCTCTATTTAAGACCTGCAACAGGAAGACTTCTCCTCAATTATGGCACAGTGACCTGATGAAGTCGGTTGTAATTGCCAGCGAAACGTCGTGCTCCATTTGTAAATGTTGTGGGTTTACTCTCCAACACACCGGTGTGCTGAAGTAGTCACTAATTGGCACGTTTTGTTTACGTGACAAACCTTATTAATTGGCTGTATCGGGTGGTGGTGGGTTAACGACACATTTATGTTTCCGCGATCTAACCCCAATTGTTTTTAATCATGAACAATATTGTTCGCAAAAGCCTGTTTGTTAAATTATCCCTTTATTATAATCAAGTCGTGTTAATGGGTCAGGTCCACTCGTTGATTACACTCAAGAAGGTGTGTTATTGCCGCCTGCTGGTGGAAGCGCATCATAACAGCAATGGGGGAAGATGTCCTGATGATTTCGTTTCAGCCAAGGTGGAGAACTCGTTTGTAAGGAGTGACACCTGGAGGGCGGTTTCCAAAATGACAAAATTAAAACTAATAAGGTGCGGTAAATGACGCAAGGCCGTAGGCATGGAGCCAATTTTGGGGGGGGGATCAAATCTTCCAGGGGGTCTGGGGGTCCCAACCCACAAAAATATCTACATTTTAAAACTTATTTCCTGCCTAAAATATAAAAAAAATCACTCACACATGGGATGGACTTTTTATTTATTTTTACAATAATGTCTAATAGTGTATTGTATTACATTGCTCTGTTTTTACTTTTTAACCATTTATTGTTTTTAACCATTTATTATTTTTTACCTACGTGACTTTACCGAATAGAACCAAAGAGTATGGATCCTTGCAGTCACGAAAGCTTTAAATCTATAATTTATTGTTTCATTGTATGTAATATTAGAGATTAGGGATCAATAAAGTACAACCACAACCACAATCATATCAACATAAATCTATGCATTGATTTATATGAAGACAAGTCCAGATATTGTGGCCAAGGTTTATAGCAAATTGTTGTTTTTATTTAAATAGCATACAAATGATTATATTTCTTTATTTTTTACAGCAATATATTGGGGGGGGGGGGGACATTTTGAGCACTTTTTGAATCTTTCAAGACCGTAATTATAATATACATTGGGCTTTTGCGAACAATATAAATGAAGGCAATAAAAATCTGAACAAAATTGTCTGATGAGAAATAAAACATATTGTACAAACATTTAAATGTTTTCAGAAGAGATTTTATTTTGGGTTAAATCGCGTTAATATGAAAGTGTCGTTAAAACCCGAAAGCCCACGTGATAAATCAATGTTAAATAACGAATTCCATGTAACTTCAGTCGGCTGGATTAATCTTAGGCTGACCACAGCACAATTGTATTCAAATGCTGCTGCCGCTTTCACAGTGGTGGACAAGCACAATTCATATACACATTTACAAAATAACTCAACGCATTTCGTAACACGTGCTGAATCGTTTTGGGCTAAGGGTCGCTATGTGTGCCATGCCAGTAGCGTCTGTCTTGTTATGGGGAAGACCGATCCCCCGCCATAGTAATGTGGAATTTCCACCATTGCCCCAGGTCCGTCCGCGCTCGTAGAATTAATAACATTTTGATTAAACGTGAATTCGAATTAAATGCCATTCTTAAATAACGTCATTCATTTTGATTTAAAGCTTTCGTGTCTGCAGGGATTCACGTAGAAGGGAAACAATAATATAATATTATTATTTTATTGTTTCCCTTCTACGTGACTTTACCGAAAGAACCAATAATATAACGTCATTCATTGTTGATTTAATTATATATTAATACTGGGAATCGATTCCCCGACCTATTACAGTTGCCCTCACGATTCCGATCCCGAGCAGCCCGTATTTTTCGATTACCACAAGTAATCGATTCCTCGTCTTATCGACTGCCAACGGGATACGATTCCTCGATTCCCTCCTCCCCTCTCTCCCTTCTTCAGCACCGTTCGCCACCGGCAAATTTTGACGTCCATCGAATAAAACCCCGAATCGATTCCGCGGGGCGCCGCGATGACGTGGTTGGCGCGCTCTGATTGGACGAGGCGGCCTAACCGCGCCAGGCCTTTGAATGTTCGGGGCCCGTTTGAGGCGGCACTCTCTTAAGGTGGGTGAGCGAGTTGTTATCATTATTATTATACACACGCTTTTTGTTGTTGCCTTCATTAAAAGTTATGCATCGCTCAAAGGAAATGTTACGACGTTGCGCTTGCCGCGAGCGCCCGTTTAATTTCAATGTAAATGTTTATCAGTGTACGGTTTGCAAATGGTTACACGCCGTACGCCCACGCTCAGCCGCGATGTTTGCGTATGAATGTTGCTATTTGTGTTTTTTAACACCTCGGATTGTTGGTATTGTTGTTTATATTTGTCAGAAATGGTAAAATCTATCCTCGTGTGTTTTTTTTTCTTCCATAATTTGATGCTGGCAAAAAGGTCCAATCTTAATACATACGAATGCATCACATTGCGAATACATTGAACTTCAATAATAATAATAATAGGTTTTAGGTTTAACATTGGTTTAACATTGCGACTACATTGAACTTTTAGTATTGCAACTACATTGAACTTTTATAAGCGTAGGTTTTCAAGGAACCATGCCCTCAACACGTGACGAGGGCCTCTCCCAGCGCAGTGCTGGTGGTGACGGATTTTTCTTTGACCATACTTCACCTCGCTGGCTGGTGAAGGTGGGGAGGGGTGAGCAGAGTCGTGTGGGTCATAGAGGTTCAGAACAACAATAGATTTGACTGCTATGGCCTTAATACGGGAGGGGGGGGGGTAGCGGTTAGATCGCGTAAATATATAAATGTTGTGTCGTTAAACCCGCCACCACCCGACACAGACAACTACTGTAGTAAGGGGTTTGTCACGTTAACGGAACGTGCCAATTTGTTACTAGTACAGCACACCGGTGTGTTAGAGAGCAAATCCACAACTGATTGGAAATGTTGTAGATTTACTCTCCAACACACCGCTGTGCTGGACTAGTCACGAATTGGCACGTTCTGTTCACGTGACAAACCTTACTAGTTGTCTGTGTCGGGTGGTGGCGGGATTAACGACACAACATTTATATATTTACGCGATCTAACCCCCAAAAACCTCTAATGGATGATATTGGTCGCGAAAGCCTACGGTGTTGAACTGCTATGCCCTTTACTGCCCATCGCATATGCCCGCAGCCTATAATACCTGTTGTGCATGGCAATGGCCTAGCAGAGCCACTATCCAGGTTCAGCCCCCCTGATTGGCCTTTGTGATTTGGTCGTATTGATACATATATAGTGTACAGTACTGTATTTGACAATACAGGTTATAACAAACTCGAATTACGCAATGTAATACTGTAGTTGCATAGTAAGCAATGTGTGATGTTGCACATCTTAAGCAGCAGTGTATACTCCATAATAAACGTTTTTGGGTTAGATCGCGTTATTTATAAATGTGTCGTAACCCTCCACCACCCGACACGGCCAATCAGTAAAAAAATGTCACGTTAGCAAACGACAAATAGTTCACTACTTTAGCCCACCGGTGTGTTGAAGAGTGAATCCACAACATTGGCCGTGTCGGGTGGTGGAGGGTTACAACACATTTATAAATAACGCGATCTAACCCAAACACGTTAATTATGAATAATATTTGTCGCGAAAGCCTACGTGTTAAACCAATGTATACTCCATTTGCAATACTTAATAAGTTATATTTCTCCAAGTGTAATGGCCACTTTGGATTGTGATTAACAATCACGTGAATATTCTAATATATCACAGCAATGAAAGCTACTGTAGTTTTTTTTATTGAATCGTAGGGATACTGTATGAACAAACGTCCTGTACAGCAAATTTACTCAACATAATATTGACTGTTAATGATATTGACTGTTACAGACAACCGGCTGCATTTGTACTGCTTGTGAGCTGCATACAGATAACGAACTGTGGGTTGGCCACTGGTGTACTGAGGCTAATCTTCCCACACATCAGACAGGTCAAGCTGCACCGAAAGAGGAGCTGCAGTGAAGATGGAGCAGCGCGAACTGAGGGGGCAACTGGAGCGTATGAAAGAGCGCCTGAGCCAGGCAGAAGCGGAGAAGCACCAGGCGGCCGAGTACGGGCTGCGTCTGCTGGAGAGCCACAATGAGCTGCAGGCTCAGCTGGAGGAGGAGCAGAGGGTTATGACTAGCCAGTTGGAGGTGAGGGCTGCCCTCTCGCCCTCACTCACTTACTCCCCCACTTGTGTGCGCACATCACAACCCTGTGTTAACCTACTCTTTGGTTCTATTGGGTAAAGTCACGTGGGTAAAAAAATAAAACAACAAAAATCACGACGTTTCGGCCACAACACAAGCGGCCTTCATCAGGTGAAGGGACCAGACTGTCTCGAAGACAGCGCTGGAGTGAAACACAGCCAAGCTCAGACCGCGACCTTTAAGCTGTGTGAGAGTAATTCAGGTGCCTTGACAAAGGAATTCGCATAACAAATTGCATTTTAATAGGCGGACTTAGCCTATTTATAGGCGGACTTAGCATGATGTGTTAACCTGCAGGATAGTGCTTGGATGTGTAACTACCGTGGATAAAGGATGTTGTAGGCTCCAGGGCTATGTGGTGAGCAGCAAATGGCAGTGTAGTAAAATGCATTGCATTGCTGAACAGTACTTCTGTACCCTTGCATATATGGCATATATGCTGCCCGCTTTCACAAAACCGCATCAGCTAGCATGAAGTATGGTCAAATAACCCCCTCGAAACCCGTACAGGGTTGGGAAGCCCTCATCCAGGAGTGAATTGATAAAATGGCTGTACGTGCACACAAATGTGTCATCCAGATTTAATGAATGCAAATTACACAAACTACCGCATGCTGTAATAACGGCGTGCGATTTCGTTCGCTCGTGTCAGGGGTTGGAGCAGGAGAAGTTCTCGCTGCAGCGCGATGTTGAGCTCAAGGTCAAGCTGCTGGAGAGCCTCTCGGCCGAGTACGAGAGCTGCAAGACCTCGCACGCCCTCCAGATAGACGCGCTGCACCAGCAGATGGAGCGCATCGCCAGCCGCGACCTGCAGGAGGCGCGCGGAAAGGTGATGCTCCAAACCCGATGCACCTGTCCTGGAAATTCGATCCACCAAATGTGGCACCTGAGCACACCAAGGACAAATCGACGTTCAATGGTCGATGAAGCTTTGAGTAGTCAGGCGGCTCGTGAAATGTCTTGCCCCCATCCATTTGAGACACTCCGTCAGTTGAGGTTTTTAGGGCTCGTCTTAAAACACGTACATGGTGTTGTAGAGTGCTCTCTGAGGCCCTGTGTGAATGGTGCTACATAAAACTGAGGTTTATGCTCGGGAGTCGCCCACGGTGCAATCGCTTTTTGCTAAACCTCTTGTCACATGGACTTGTTTTCACGGCGCAGTGGCCCACAGTTGAATCAGGCCGTCCTTTTATTTATGTTTATAATAAACCTGTGTAAAGTTGACTGAAATAATGTGGGTTAAATATTTATTTTCAACAGTTTAATCATTCAATTGGTAATTTGGTCAGTTTAACACATATGCTTTTGCGACCAATATCATCCATAATACAAGTTTTTTGGGTTAGATTGCGTACAAATATAAATGTGTCGTTAATCACGCCACCACCCGACAGCCAATCAGTAAGGTTTGTCACGTAAACAGAACGTGCCAATTTGTTACTACTACAGCACACCGGTGTGTTGGAGAGCAAAGCCACAATATTTAACCGTTTGGATAGTTACAGGCTTAATGCTGCTTCAAAGCAAATCATGAAATAACACATTGTTTAAATGCATGCCTATACCGGTCACCATAATTCAATAGGGATTACCTTTGGTAAGGCTATTTTTAACAGGAGGTACAAGAACAACGAGCTTGCATAATGCACATGCATCGTGTATGTTTATTACCATATAAATAACCCAAACGACAATGGATACCCATAATCAGTTATATGCATTCATTAAACCCCCTCCCACTTCGCACAAGAAGGGCACACAAGTGACGTCATCACACCTCTCCCTCTATTCAAGGACCGAAACGAGAGGATTTCTCCACAAATCTGGCTGTTGCCTGATGAAGCTAGTTGAAATTACTTGGCGAAACGTCGTACTCGGATTGTAAATGTTGTGGCTTAACTAAGTGTCGGGGGGTGGTGGATTTAACGACATAATTACGCCATCGAACCCCAAAAAATGGTATTATGGTAATTTGGTGATTCATTAACTTGGAATTCCTTGTGTTTCCCACCTTGCATATTGCGAGGCTTACTTTCTCAAATGTTAAAAGTTGCATGATACTTGTTAATTATACTATATTAGGGTCTGCATTAGCTGTAAAGTGGACATTGGAGAGACCCTGTGAGATTATTCATCTGAGGAGCATTATTAATCAAATCTAGATTTTGAAAGTTAGCCATAACCAAATTGTAAACTTAATAACGTCCCATAATGACAACTTACATTTATAATGTAAAACACATCTCACACTGACCTTGTCAAGGAGAGAGTTGTTTTCAAGGCACTTCAATGTACTTAATTATAGTCGCTCAAACAGGAAGTCAAACAGCTATTGTGTTTTCCCTCGTGCCAATACTGTGTGAGCCACACATTTTTTATGACAGAAACTGACCGCTGATGAGCTGGAGTGAAGATTACAGAGGAAAACATAAATATAGCAAATACAGCTGTTGTACGTACGTATGTATGTTGAACTGATTTCTCACCGTATATATCCAACCGCGTTCTAATCTGATTTGAAGAGCTCTGACCGACGGCACAAGACCTTGATCTGTTGGACGAGCAGGGTTGCGCGCAGTGGTGTCGCCGATACGGCAGATCGTGTACCAAGCACGCCACCGAAGCCCGTGTCATTTTTGCGCAGCTGGAGCTGCTGAAGGGCGAGGCTGAGGAGGCGCGCCTGGCCCAGCGGCAGGCTGAACGCAAGCTGGAGCAGCAGGCGACGCTGCTGGAGGCGCGCGGAGAGGAGATCCGGGCGTTTTCCCAGCGCCACCACGAGACCGCCTCATCCGAGATCCTCGCTCTGCAGGTCGAAAACGCCGAGCTGCTCGAGCACAAGGTGGGTGGGGCGAGGAGGGCCATGTTTGCGTCGGCCCTGTCCGTCCTTCTGTCCAGCTGTTCCTAACGGAGCGGAGGGAGGTGGAACGATAACGCTTATGAAGATGGTTCCGTATGAACCCCACGTGAAATGTAAATGTTTTGCTGCTGTTGGCCAAATATATGAAAGGATTGTGCAAAATTTGGGGACCTAAACGAGAGAAAAATATATTGGCAAACGTGTTAACATAGTTGCTTTACAGCTACTCGTTGGCTTGGGCGGCAACATGAAGGGCCTGGGTTTGATTCCTGACTGAAGTACCTTTTTGTCTGAAGTTCGTATGTTCTCCCCCTTTTCTGCATGGGTTTCCTCTGGGTTTTACAGTTTCCTTCCATACGCTAAACGCGTACAACGTAATTGGTATTTGCTTATTATCCGCAAATTACTCAACTCCGATTAAAATGAAATCGTCCCCTACTCCAAAAACTTTGCAGGACCCTCCTTCTTCAGAGTCTTGAGGCTTTCCTGAGAGAAGAAATGAAATAAATAAGTGCGCTCATAGCACTGTTTTTTTTACATTCATGCGACATTAGATTTTACATGCACTACAAAGGCAAAGCATATAATTGGTTTGTGAATCATATCGTGGTCTCAAAATGTGACGATTCATCGAATCACTGGGGCGCGAATCACTGCATCACTTAAATACGCCAGCCGGCCTGTGACAGGATATCAGTACAGTAAAACCTTGGATTGCGAGTAACTTGGTCTGTGAGTGTTTTGCAAGATGAGCAAAAATTTTAAATAAATATGAATTTGATAAACGAGCGAGGTCTTGCAATACGAGTAGTAGTACGTATACGCTTTGTCTGCCGAGCGTCACGTGATCACAACTGATTTACGAGTGCTTTGATATACGAGTGCTTTGGATTACAAACACGTTTCCGGAACGAATTATGCTCGCAATCCAAGGTTTTACTGTACTGTACGTTGAGTGTTCTCTCGTAAATGTAAAACATTCCTGTGATCTGTAACGTTGTTGCATGTGAAGAGTGTAGAGATGTTGCTGCTGAGGGGTATGATTGCTTCTGACCAAATCACCCAGTATGAATCCATCCTATTTCTTCTCAGGGTTGAACGTTACACAGTGCTTTGATGGGTGACCACCGTGCATAGAGCATATGTTGTAGACTGCTGCGAGGGTACATTATGGACAGTGCAGAAACATTCACTAAAGGTTTTGTCTTTGTGTGCTCCTACGTCTATGGTGCCCGCCTTCACCCACACTGATCAGTGTGGTGTAGTTTGGGCAACAACCCCCAGCAACCCTTAACGCGCAAGGGAAGTCGTCGTCCAGTAGTGGATTGACGGGGGGGTGTGCGAGTGCGCAAGAGAGTGGTTATAATTCGGTGGTGGGATGGTCATCATCGGAGTCGCACAGTCGACGCGGACCATTGCGTCCAACCAGACGAGTGATGCCGGATGACGGCGGCTCTGTAGGCCTGCGGAGAGTTCCAAGCTGGCGTCTCGACGAATTTGTCGCACCAGTGTGCCCCAAGGGCCAGCCGACAGGGCAATGCCCGCGAAGGGGATGGACGAAGACCACACCCGGCCTGGGTGGCGAAACGTAAGGAGGGTGCTTGTTGGCGTTTTATATTCAGAATTGGGCTGTCGGGTGGGGGTGGGGGTGTGTGCTCTCACCTGCAGGCCGCGCTGACTCAGGAGATGGATGATATGCGCTACCGGACTGAGCAGCTGGAGCTGTCCAGGACCGTGCTGCACAGGCAGGTAGAGCGGCTCCAGCAAGAGAAGGAGGAGGACCAACGTGTCGCCGTGTCCTACTTCAACGCCCTAGAGGTAACCTTGACCACCGGCAGGGTTTTCTCCTTTCTTGCTTTTTCTATCGCAGGTCGATTCTCAAATCACTCCACCAATCGATCGTCACGTCATCGAATTCAATCAATCTTTTCGCCCCCACCATCTCGGCGGCGCATTTACGGGCAGCTCTCTGCTATGGGGGCCACAGTTTGCTGGGTGGTTCCGCTATGGGGGCCGCAGTTTGCTGGGTGGTTCCGCTATGGGGGCCGCAGTTTGCTGGGTAGTTCCGCTATGGGGGCCGCAGTTTGCTGGGTGGTTCCGCAGTCACGTGCAGGAGGGGTGGTGCGCAAACCTAACAGTGCCAAATAATAATGATAATTTTAACTTGTAACATTCACAGCATTCGCTCACTATAATAGGGAGAATGATTCAGAGGTACAGGGAACCACAGACAAGCAGGTAGGCAGTGAGCGGGCACTACCAAAAAATGCCCAAGCTCTGCAGTCAGTTATGTCAGGATCTTCTTCTTCCATGCGTTTGTCCTACTCATGTCCTTGCCTACCTTCTCCATGCTGCCCTGTCCTGCGCCATCTCTCCTTCCGCTCCTCAGGTGACCATGTCCAATCGGAACCACATCGCCCCACCTCTTCTTCTGACTTCCTCTTGATCTCTTTCCTTCCACTTGCATCAATTGCACCTTCTGATCCACATAATTGTCTCGTTGTCGCCCCACATGACCGAACCACGCCAGCGTTTCCTCTCTCTCATCTTCTCTGTGATTTCTGCCACCTTCAGTCTTCCTCTCACTTCATTTCTCACCCTGTCCTTATTAAACCCAACATCTACCGCAACATCCTCATCTCTGTGACTGCCATAGCTTGGTCCTGCCTCTTTCTTGTGCCCGAGCACTCGGCCCCATACAACAGCACTGGCCCTACCACCGTGGGGCCCTCTTATTGTACACCACACCAGTCATCTCTCAACATTTCAGCTATCCAACCCTTGCTGTTGTTCTCATCTCTCCTTCTCGTGATCCTTCAGCACCACATTGTTGTACCCAGGTACTTAAACTCGTTCGTATTCATTAACTGGTCACTTCCAATTTGCAATCATCCTGCATTATTTTCACTGAAATTTGCCACCATGTACTCCGTCTTTGTCCGACTGATCCTCAACCCATTCACTTCACACATGCATTTCCCCTCCTTCAAACATATCCTGGATCAGCTGGACATATACCGCCAGGAATACCTCTTCTCATACACGACCAGATGAGCTCTCTGGTCACCCTGTCGTACGCTTTCTCTAGATCAATAAACACCATATGCGTTTCTTCTCTCTGAACTTCTCAATCAATACTCTCAGTGCAAAGATTGCATCCATTTTAGCTTTGAACCTTTCGTGACTGCAAGGATCCATACTCTTTGGTTCTATTCGGTAAAGTCATGTAGGTAAAAAATAAAACAACAAAAATCACGACGTTTCGGCCACAACACAAGTGGCCTTCATCAGGTGAAGGGACCGTGCTGTCATGAGGACAGCGTTGGAGTGGAAACAGCCAAGCCCAGGTCGCGTCCTTTAAGCTGTGTGGGAGGAAACAAAATGCTTTGACAAAGGAATTAGCATAAAAATGAGCATGATGTACGTAGGAGGTACATGATGGACCAGGCGCGGGGGGGACAATGATGGACCAGGCACGGGGGGGGGGGGGGGGGGGGGGAGTTTACATAATGTTGGTGTGGAGAGAAATAAGCAGCTGTGAAAGTTTGGGATACCACTACTTGAAAAAATATACTGTACCATTGAAAATTAGTTTAATGTTTGGTTTTATTTAGAACATCTTTCCAATGATTGCTTAATTTGAAACCATCCTCTCGGTTGAAATTGTGTCTGTGTTTGTAAATCTGAATTGCCTCGTGGACAAATCTCTGATAAAAACCTGTGGGTTTGCAGAGAACCTTGGTATCGGAGAAAATTATATCATGATTACCCACAGTGATGTAACAGTGATCAGCTACGGCAGAAGAATTCGTTCTGCCGTGTTTCAAATCTGATTTGTGCTCGCGAATTCGGTCAGAGACATGTCGCTTCGTCTCCCCGATATAGCAATCACCACAAGTGCAGCTCAATTTGTAAACCCCGGGGTACTGTAAGTCAGGAACGACATCCTTCACGGATGGGATCAGGTCACGGATTTTGTGTACTGTATTGAACCGGACCAGGATCTCGAGTTTATGGGAAGAGATGCTTGATCCATTTGATTGTTTGGTGTGTAATGTACAGAGGTAAAGAAAGGTTGAATTTGCATTGTACTCGCTGTGATTGTGTGTGCACGTCTGCCCCATGCTGAAATGGGATGATACAGAAAGCGCGCGAGGCCAATCAGGAGCTGCAGCAGCAGCTGTCGCATGCCTTGCAGCAAGCCCAGGACCCACGGAGCAAGGGCAATTCGCTGTTCGGTGAGGTGAGTATTAATGTAACCTGTGCTAATCAACAATGAACTTAACTGTGAAGCCATTTAGGGTGACCTTGCATCTCGATGCATCACCTTGTAGCCTGCGCGCGGTTTGTCATTGTGGTCGCTGAGCTAGTTTTGAGCGACAGCGGCTTGATTGCGCGACCGTGCCTGTGTTTTGACGGACGTCAGTTGGAGGACCGGCGTGTGGAGATGGAGAGGCAGCTGATCAGCGTCAAGGTGCAGTACAAAAACCTGCAGAAGCAGCACGCGTTCACCAAGCAGCAGCACTGTCGCCTCAAGGTAGGAACTTGGTTTCGGCCCTCTCAAGCCGTTGCCCTCGTCATTTTTTTTTAATCGTTTGTCTCTTTCAATTGAATAAACAACCTTGAATTGGGAAGCGATATAATCTAAGAAACGTTAAGAATCTGGAAGAATTGGAATGCGGTAGATCGTTGTTTATCCGGCGCGCTACTATCCGGCAGTTCCAGGCCACTCCAGAAAAACCGCTCGAAAGGCTGTAACGAGTCCGGCTATCGGCACCGCGTGCATGACAAAAGAAAGTAGCTATGCTTGATTTCACTGTCAAATGTTATATACATTGCATAATACACTACATACAACAACTTAATAGGAAAATACTCCAGGTATATACATGTTTCATGACTAATAACTAGAGTAAAGAAAACTAGAAATATTCAGTGCAATCCGGCGAAAAGTGTGTGTAATTCGGCATTCGCATCAGTCCAGCGATCATCAAACACAAGTTGTTTAAACAAGAGCGAAGTCGTAATACGTACATCTCGCCGTGTAGAGTCTTCGAGATTGGAGCGGTAAGTACGCTACAGTAAATACGGTAACTTTTTACAGTGGGATATTTTTAATGCTTATGCTAATTTAATATAGTAAACAAATGAACCTTATGGCAGGACCCTGGGGTCTCGAATAAAAGGAAGTCAAAATCGTAATTAAATTATTTTTGGCGACTCCGTCCCACCGTACACATAATTGCCGCGACCCACCAGGCGCGGATCATTCTGTTGTCATGTCGTCCAAGCGCAGCGTGGAGGAATGTTCAGACGAGCTGAACAAGCGAATTCACTCTATGCTCGGGTATGGGCAGGATCATAAGTCTTATCCAAAGCTGCTCAAACTGCCTACACGGTATGCATAATACAGTGAAACTGCTCTCTTATCTTCATTATTATTTGTGACCTGCCAATGTCTGCAGCCAGGATCAATCGATGACAATCCTATTACCTATTCTAGATTTAAAGCTTTCGTGACTGCTAGGATCCATACTCTTTGGTTCTATTGGGTAAAGTCACGTAGGTGAAAATAAAATAACAAAAAAATTAACAAAAAATCACGACGTTTCGGCCACAACACAAGCGGCCTTCATCAGGTGAAGGGACGAGACTGTCTGGAGGACAGTGCTGGAGTGGAAGAAGTCACGCTCAGATCACGACCTTTAAGCTGTGTGAGAAGAAAAACACCAAGCGCCTTGACAAAGGAATTAGCATATCATTTAGCATTGAAATGGCTCATTGAAATAGCTAAGTGAAAGTATACACATCCGCAGAGTTACCCCTTGACAAAGGAATTAGCATAGAATTTAGCATTGAAATAGCTGAGTGATTAGCTTGTAACTGGTCACAGAAATAGCTATGTTAAAGTTAGAGCATATACATTCACCGAGGCACCTAGTACTCATCAAACAGGAGAATTTAGCGAAACACAACCACGCTCAGACAGCGGACCTTTAAACTGTGTGCGAGCAAACAAGGTGTTCTGACAAAGAAATTAGCATAAAAATTAGCATTTGATTGGCAGATTTTCGGAAAGAGGTGGTGTACGTGCCGGTGGACTTGCCATTTGGTGCGGGGGGAAGGGGGGGAGGGGGAGTTTACCTATTGATGGTGTGAAAAGGGAATTTATAAGAGCTGCGAAAGTTTGGGGTACCACTACTTGAAAAATATACTGTACCATTGAAATTAGTTTAATGTTTAGTTCGATTTAGAACATCTTTCCAATGGTTGCTTAATTTGAAACCATCCTCTCGGTTGAAATTGTGTCTGTGTTTGTAGATCTGAATTGCTTCATGAACAAATCTCTGATAAAAGCCCGTGGGTTTGCAAAGAACCTTGGTATCGGAGAAAATTATATCGTGATCCCCCACAGCGTTGTAACAGTGATCAGCCACGGCAGAAGAATTCGTTTTGCCGTGTTTCAAATCTGATTTATTACCTGCAGATATTTAACAGATGAGATTAGTTGCACCGTTAACTCCTCCTGTTTGATACTTCTCTTGTCCGTATGCATCTGTGCAGATAGGTTGTTTTTTTTTGCGGTTAAGCCATAGTCCCCACATACCGCTCGTATCAATGTGGATAAAAGAAGCGGCGACTCACTACTCTGTAGAGTGACATTGGTATAAACGCTTGTTACAATATGAACAGCGCATTGAAAACGCGTGCTATTTTATGTACTGTTTACAAAGTGTATTCACAAATCCACACTGAGAAATACAAAGATTGACAGAGGGGTGTAAATTATTTTTTCGATAGTGTATTTAAATAGAGGTACTGCAGGTAAGTAGTTTTCAGTTTTAAAGGCAATTTAACAAGACAACACTTGCCACCATCCTTCAAACCCATTGGTGAAAATCAGCAAAGTTTTTCTTTACATTATACTATAGTCTTGATTTGAAGCTTTCATGACTGCAGGAATCCATACTCTCTGGTTCTTTCGGTAAAGTCACGTAGATAGAACAATGATGGCTGCTATACCAAAATTAATAGAGACCCTACCAATAGCCTGGCTACTAAAACCAACAAAATCATCACTAATTCGACTTCCCTAATCGAACCCACCAAACAGCTCTCTAAAACCTTCAGCTGCTAGACCACCCAGATTTTACGGCCTTCTAAAAATCAATAAAGAGGGCACTCCACTCTGTCCTATTGTCTCCACCATTAACTCACCCACTTACAGACTGGCACGATTTCTGTCTGAGAATCTGCTTCCCTTCACGGGCAAGACAGCCTCAGCTGTACGTAGTTCGGCCCACTTGGTTTCACTAATCAAGGACATATCACTGTCCCCAGAGGATTTGCTTGTCAGTTTCGATGTAGTCTCCCTCTTCACCAAGGTACAATTGCAATAATTGAAGACCTGGTCCAACAGGCACTGCCTTACCAACACTTACTTCATCTGTTATGGTACTTTCTACAAACAGAATGAAGGTACCACAATGGGCTTTCTTCTATCACCAGTGGTAGCGAATGTTTTTATGGAGAAATTTGAGACAGATGCCATTCAGACATCCACCCGACGTTCTTCCTTGTGCAAGAGATACGTAGATGACACGTTCGTCATCTGGTCACATGGCTTGCCGGCACTACCAATTTTCCACCATAGAAGTGGAAAATGATGGCAAGCTACCACTCCTGGATGTTTTGATTGAGAAGAGACCTGATGGCTCGTTGGGACACTGTCTATAGGAAAGCCATCCACACGGATTCCTATCTAAAGCCTGACTCCCACCACCATCCAGCCCAGAAGAATTCCCTCATCAAAACACGACACCATAGGGCTCGTTGCATCTCCGACCAGCACCACCTAGCCAGTGAGCTTGAGCACGTACGCCAGGCTCGCACAATCCGCAAAGCTGCATCCTGAACCATGGGTAGAGAACCATCTGAGGACCCAATCAAAACCATCACCTTGCCATACATAGCAGGGGTCACCAAAAGGATTTTCACAATCTTGAACAAACACAAAATCCAAGTTCGGTTCAATACAGTACACAAAATCCGTGATTTGATCCCATCGGTGAAGGATGCGATTTCGGACATGCAATGTCCTGGTGTCTATAAGCTGAGTTGTGTCTGCGGCAGCAGTTACATTGGTGAAACGAAGCGACATGTCTCAGACCGGGCTCGCGAGCACAAAGCAGATTTGAAAAACAGTAGAACCAACACCTCGGCGGTGGAAGATCATTGTTTCAACGCTGTGGGCACACCTGACATTGTTTTTGCCGAGACCAAGGTGCTCTGCAAACCCTCGGGCTACCATCGGAGATTTGTTCACGAAGCCATCCAGTTATACAAACACAGACAAAACTTTAATCGAGAAGATGGATTGAGATTGATAAACCACGTCAAGTTTTAACTGCTGTGATTTTCACTCGCCCACCCGTGCTGTTTTTGTTTCCTAATTCAAGCTCATGGACATGCTAATTTCTCCAGCCCCCACCCGTCCCTGCACGCCACAAATCCTCTCCCCGTGAACTCCTGCAGCCACGACTCTACAACCCCCCCTTCCCCCCCTCCCTATATAAAGCCACAACAGCAGGATCACTCTTTCTCACCTGATAACGGACGCTTGTGTCGCGAGCGAAACGTCATGTTCTTTTATTATTCTTTTATTATTCTTTTTCTATCTACTTGACTTTACCGAAAGAACCAGAGAGCATTATAATGTTTTCTTTTATTATTCTTTTATTATTCTTTTTCTATCTACTTGACTTTACCGAAAGAACCAGAGAGCATTATAATGTAATGTTTTCTTTTATTATTCTTTTATTATTCTTTTTCTATCTACGTGACTTTACCGAAAGAACCCGAGAGCATTATAATGTAATGTTTTCTTTTATTATTCTTTTATTATTCTTTTTCTATCTACGTGACTTTACCGAAAGAACCAGAGAGCATTATAATGTAATGTTTTTGCGAGAGCCCCCGGCGGCTTATGGGACCCCGGGGTCCTGCCATAAGGTTCAACTGTAAAACAAAGAAAAGTTATACACGACACCTAAAAACTGAACGTTATGCAACAATATGCAAAAATAAGCTATTTTAAATACTAATGAGTGATTATTATCCAGCGTTTTTGAAAATCCGGCGCCCCCAAGCCGCCGGATAATTGATGATCTACTGTATATGGGAGAGCAACACAAATAATATACTTCGTCCAGACCGTGTTCTTTTGAAAGCATTCTGATCCCTTGGAATCCTTCCTTCGTTATCAATCTGACCTGATCTCTGCGATTGTCCCTTCAGGCTTTTCCATCGTCTCCTTTGTCACAGTCAGGATTTGATATTTGTGCATCTTAACTCGGCAATCTCCCCCCCCCTCCTTCCTGACAAGACGTGCACAGGAAGAAGACTTCAAGGGGGAAGACGTTCACACGCGTGCGTTGGTTTACAGTTGCAGATCGGCACCCTGCTGCAGATGAAATGCGGGCAGGTGGACTTGGAGACGATGCAACGCTTGCAAGCGATGCTGGACCAGAGAAACCACGAGGTCATGGAGCTGCTGAAGAAAAACCGAGAGCTGGAGGAGGTGTGAGGGGCAGTCGGCTTCTGGGGTGGTTTCTCAGCGTCATGCGATGCTCTGCTGGTTGCCGCTAGTTACTTGAACCATAGTTTGTCCTTCTTGCCTTAACTCTAAAATATCAGTTGGGATGCTGCCCTTTATTAGTTTTGAATGTGCTATGCAATAAAAAGCACTCGGTTAATTAAGTTCGTTTCATTGTAATTTATGTGTTTAGTCTTATTAACATGCTTGCTAGTAGTGCTCATTTTGAAATCCGTACTTATAAAATGTCTTCCCCAAAACATGATTGTTGTCCTTAACCTGTCTCAGCTAAAGTGAATAACGTAGAACAAGCGATATCATCAAAGCCTTGCTGAACACTATTTTAACAACTGTGTACCCATGTCTGCCTTTCTGCCCAGTTGAACAGCGTAAACCTGGTTGGCAGCGACATGCAGCTGGGAAAATCCAACTCCGATCTCGGGGATGGGCAATACTACGTGGACCTTCTGAAACTTAAACTCTATGAGACCAGGTTTGTTTGTAAGCTTCGATTTTGTCATTGCTTAAACGTCAGTTCCCCTCTCCTCCTCAACCAAGTTGTTTGCCTTCCACATAATGTGCCAATCTATTTGTGTGTGGGTGTTTTTAAGAAATACCGCAAATTGGGTGGTGGGTGATTTGATTACATCCAGTGGTGCGAGTGGGGAAAGGTGCTCATAGACGAGGATGTTAGACCTTGTGGAGGCTGACGGCCGATGGTCTTGACATGTTTTTTGTGTGGAGGGGTTACTGGGCGTGTCTTTAGATGGGGGTAGCTGTCGGAGTGTGGATGTATTATATGGGGTGATGTAGAGAGGAATGGGGAGTCCAGGTTTCTTGGAAGGTGTGTCATCGTTTTGTGTCGCGGTGCCACGGTCGGTCATTGATGGGTAACAATTACAAATGTTACTCTTCCAGATGATTACGGAGGGGTTTTTCACGCTTGTGCTCTAACTCTGTAAAACGTGTGAGCCTAACGTATTGTGCAGCAGTGGTAGTAGAAGCGAAGTTGTGTTGTGGTTTTAATTAGCTCTCAGACGTGAATCTAGGGGAGAGACGACAGGTCTCTACAGATAAGGATATGGAAGTGGAGCAGCCACCGTTTTTGTATTGAAGTATGGTGATTTAAAGTATATTATTGCCGAGAGGGTCTGTTCGTACTTAAACCAGTATTGAAGTGTGTAACCTATGTTTATTGATTGATTTGGTAACACTGAAAATCTTGACCGGCTGCAGAAATAAGTTTAGTTTGGACGATCGGTGGCCTGCATAATGTGAAAGCCTACGTATGCAATTGGCCTGCATAATATTGGCACACGTGCTAACGGTGATAGGTGGCGGCAAGCGGTGTATTCTTATCTTATATTTATATATTTTACATGTAGTATTTGTTTTTTCCCCCAATTGTATTTTAATGACGGGTGGCTGCCCGAATCCCACCCAGCAGTTCAGCTATGCCAGCTCAACGCTCTGACCTCCGAGCCACCCGGCCACCCGGCCACCCTCTCGTCTTTGGTTCATAGTAGCAGCTCTTTCATTTTGCGAGCCTGAGTAACATTGCACAGCGTTGTGCGAGCATTCACTGCAAAGTCCTTCTCGGCCGGCCGTGCAAGCGCTCCGCGTGTCTTGCAGGCAGCAGCTGACCCAGCTGAAGGAGAACTCGTCCATGCAGCGGATGAAGCATCTCGCGGAGTCGCAGAACGTGCTGGACCTTGAGAGGAAGTTATTTGCCCTGGAGGGGCAGCTGCAGGAGAGCCAGGGGGGGACCATGAAGCTGCAGGTGAAGCTTGATGAGTTGCAGCTCAAATACGAGCCTGAAGGTACGCCGCCGCCGCCGACCTCTCTGTCGTTATCGTCGACGCGGTTGGGCTTTGGCTGTGGGAATGTTATCGAAATGTGATGAATATAGTGAAGTCATTTTATTCACGGACAGCCCTTTTGTTGATACACTGCTGGGTGACAACCGTCCCACTCCACACGAGCCATGGGGGTTATTTGGCCGTACTTCGGCGCCAGCTGATGAACGTGGAAAGCGTATACGTGGGAGCATAGAAGTGCAATCCATCGATGGATTTTACTGAACTGCCACCTGCTCCTCACCACGTGGCCCCAGCGCTGATATCAGCCTGCTGCATGTGGTGGCCACTCATTCATCCAGTCGCTCCAGGCTTGGTCCTCCTTGGCTTCAGCCATAATGAAATCTCATTGTGTTGGCTATTGAGATTTATGTTGTTGGGATTCACAATGTGAACTCGGACTTAGCCATCTCTAAGTGCTCTGGGGTTGTTACTGAAAAATCTCGAAGGTCTTTCAGTTTAAATGAAATGCAAGCGTGTTTTTGGTGCTATTTGTAGGCATACATCGGTAATATAAAATCATTCGTGAAAGCAATTTTCCAGGGCAAAGATTCTTGCACTCCTAATTAGAGGCCGACCGAAACTGAATTTCTGGTTTCGGCCGAAACCGAAAGTTAAAATTGACTTTCGGCCGAAACTGAAAGTAAACCGGAAGTTTACTTTTTGGCTTCGGCCGAAACAGAAACTATGCCGAAAGAGGCCATTTGCCAACTTTCGGCGCCGAAACCGAATTTCGGTCGGCCTCTAGACGCGTCACAGACTCGCACCCACACCGAAGCCCCCTCTTACTGTGTGGAACCCATGTGGAGGAGGAGGAGGAGGGGGTGGGATGAGGTGGTGGGAGGGTTGAATTGGATCATTGGAGGGGTGGGTGGGTGGGTTGGTGTGTGTGTGTGTGGCTGGTGGGCGGATGAGTGAGTGCACGCGCGCGTATGCACACTGTTGGCATCAGCACGCTGCTATCATCTGCTCGGTGTGCTGTGCGTGCGCCCGCGTGTGTGTGTGTGTGTGCTGCGTGCCTCGAGCTGCCTGTGAGAGCCCAGCCTCTGAGCCGCTCAAACAAAAGTGCTCCTGGTGGACTGCTGCTGCGAGTGCTGGCTACACGCGTGTGCTGGCTACGTGTGTGCTGGCTACGTGTGTGCTGGCTACACGTGTGTGCTGGCTACACGTGTGTGCTGGCTTCGCGTGTGTGCTGGCTACGTGTGTGCTGGCTACGTGTGTGTGCTGGTTACACGTGTGTGCTGGCTTCGCGTGTGTGCTGGCTACGCGTGTGTGCTGGTTACACGTGTGTGCTGGCTTCGCGTGTGTGCTGGCTACGCGTGTGTGCTGGTTACACGTGTGTGCTGGCTTCGCGTGTGTGCTGGCTACGTGTGTGTGCTGGCTACGCGTGTGTGCTGGTTACACGTGTGTGCTGGCTTCGCGTGTGTGCTGGTTACACGTGTGTGCTGGCTACGCGTGTGTGCTGGCTACGCGTGTGTGCTGGCTTCGCGTGTGTGCTGGCTACGCGTGTGTGCTGGTTACACGTGTGTGCTGGCTTCGCGTGTGTGCTGGTTACACGTGTGTGCTGGCTTCGCGTGTGTGCTGGCTACGTGTGTGCTGGCTACGCGTGTGTGCTGGCTACGCGTGTGTGCTGGCTACGTGTGTGTGCTGGCTACGTGTGTGCTGGCTACACGCGTGTGCTGGCTACGCGTGTGTGCTGGTTACACGTGTGTGCTGGCTTCGCGTGTGTGCTGGTTACACGTGTGTGCTGGCTACGTGTGTGCTGGCTACGTGTGTGTGCTGGCTACGTGTGTGCTGGTTACACGTGTGTGCTGGCTTCGCGTGTGTGCTGGCTACGCGTGTGTGCCGGTTACACGTGTGTGCTGGTTACACGTGTGTGCTGGCTTCGCGTGTGTGCTGGTTACACGTGTGTGCTGGCTTCGCGTGTGTGCTGGCTACGTGTGTGCTGGCTACGTGTGTGTGCTGGTTACACGTGTGTGCTGGCTTCGCATGTGTGCTGGCTACGTGTGTGCTGGCTACACGTGTGTGCTGGTTACACGCGTGTGCTGGCTTCGCATGTGTGCTGGCTACGTGTGTGCTGGCTACGCATGTGTGCTGGTTACACGTGTGTGCTGGCTTCGCGTGTGTGCTGGTTACACGTGTGTGCTGGCTTCGCGTGTGTGCTGGCTACGTGTGTGCTGGCTACACGTGTGTGCTGGTTACACGCGTGTGCTGGCTTCGCGTGTGTGCTGGCTACGCGTGTGCTGGTTACACGTGTGTGCTGGCTTCGCGTGTGTGCTGGCTACGTGTGTGTGCTGGTTACACGTGTGTGCTGGTTACACGTGTGTGCTGGCTTCGCGTGTGTGCTGGCTACGCGTGTGCTGGCTACGCATGTGTGCTGGTTACACGTGTGTGCTGGTTACACGTGTGTGCTGGCTACACGTGTGTGCTGGCTACACGTGTGTGCTGACTACGTGTGTGCTGGCTACACGTGTGTGCTGGTTACACGCGTGTGCTGGCTTCGCGTGTGTGCTGGCTACGTGTGTGCTGGCTACGTGTGTGCTGGCTACGCGTGTGTGCTGGTTACACGCGTGTGCTGGCTTCGCGTGTGTGCTGGCTACGCGTGTGTGCTGGTTACGCGCGTGTGCTGGTTACACGCGTGTGCTGGTTACACGCGTGTGCTGGTTACACGCGTGTGCTGGTTACACGCGTGTGCTGGTTACACGCGTGTGCTGGCTACGCGTGTGTGCTGGCTACACGTGTGCTGCTTGATGCTGCTCGCTAGTTTGGTGGTTTTGGGGGGGGAAGTTATTTTTTTCTTATTCTTCTCCGTCGTCTGTCTTATCCCCCCCCACCACACCTCTCTCACCCCCATGCTTGCTTGACTGTGCGTGTGTGCGCTGCTTGCGATCGCCGGAGAGAGTGAGGAGTGTCTGCCATCAGCCGCTGCCGCCCGGAGTCGCAATGTGCGCGCGTAGTTTAGAGGCCGACTGAAACTTAATTTCTGGTTTCGGCCGAAAACGAAACCAGACCGAAAGAGGCCATTTGGCAACTTTCGGCACCGAAACCGAATTTCGGTCGGCCTCTACTCCTAATACTCGGATCTAATCGAGGGCTTAAGAATTGATTATTCATGATTTATGCACATGATCGGCGCCTGTTTCAGTTTAGCTAATTAAAGTGAACAAAACAATGTAAAGGAGATGGCAGTAATTTGAGCAATTTTTTTGTACAATTCTTCCATAAAAGTGTGACATTAGAATCTGTTAGGGGTGTGAATCATTACACACTAATTGTGTAATTTCTTAAGTTATGAAACTTGTAATATAACAAATATGAGAATTTTGCTCATGCTTTTTGGCGGAAGACACTTATGAAGCCTAATTTTACTTGGTTTGCTGTCATGTATTTTGCATCGTTTCTGTATGTATGTTGAACTTACTTCGCACCGTGCATATCCAACCGTGCTAATTGGAGATACGGGGTAAGGTCAACAAACTAAACACAAAAAAACAATTCTAAAGAAATTAGTTTTCAATTTAGATTTAAAAGTGCATAGCTCCAGTGGCTTCCTAATATCGGAAGGGTATTAGGAAGCCACTGGCACTCGTAATAACAGTTAGGAGTGCCGTAGCTTGGCTCCCTGAGCCTCATGTACTTCCACCGATTCCTGAAAATCCTAATTTCAATTGTCGTCAATCCTTTTGCCTATGAACGCACCCAGAGCTGAACAAGCGAAGGATAATTGTTCGGCGGCGGGAGAAATTACCGGTAGGCGACGGTTCCACCGAGGCTAGCCCTGCCAACTTGCCGAACGACGCCGGCACGAATCCCGCCACCGCGGTCGTCGCAGGCGAGACGTCTCCCGAAGACTCGATGGCGGAACTGCTCCGGAACGACCCGGCTGTGACCGGCGTCCGAAAGAGCCTGGCCTCCGAAACTCGCGCCCCAAGCACGTCCAAGCAACGAGCCCCGGGGGCCGAAGGGTCGAGGAGTGCTTCCTCCGAGCTCCAGCCTCCGCCTGCCGCTGCCCGTGCCGCTGGTGGCGCTTGCGAAGACGACAGTGGCGAGGTGGTATCGGCGGGGTCTTTCCAGGCGCGGCCGAAGGGCGACACGTCCCCGGAGCGAGACCTGCCCGAGCCCGTCAAAAAAATAAAGCTGGAGGACAAGTGCAGTCCGCTGGCAGACAGGAATGCGGACGTTATGCCCGGTCGCTCCTCACCAGTCAGGTCGGTTGATGCTTCTTTTCTGTCGTGTTCACGGTTTCGTTGATTTGTTCTGCACGTAGCCACAGTAGTATAATTGTAAATTCTTGTCGGTGGAACCCGGGTGTGCTTAGGAGCGGCTTTGGAGCGGTCGACTCGAGCGCGCTGGAGAACTGCTGGGACATCAAGCGAAAGGCGCCAGGGGAGAAGAAAAAGGGCGCCCATTCTGTGATTCACATCTCGTCGCAGCCATCCGTCGAGAACGAGTGCGCTCAGCAGTGAGCCCTTTGTCACATCAAAGGGAGCAGATCGCCTATGAGTCATTTAACTCGTTCCGCCGACGTACATCATCAAAACAAAACCGGAAGAAAAAATGAAATAACTTTTATTGGTACCAAGGTACCCACACGGCCATGCGGGAGGGATGCGTTGCATAATTTGGCGCCAGCTATCATAGAGTTGCGGTCATGTCGCTGCGGTGCCTACAATGTCTTTAAAAACGTTGCTACACCTCTCTAAAATGAACGTGGAACCGCATAAGCGTTCCGAGATTCAGCAGTGAACTGGACACCCACCCTGCAACTTGCAGACCTCTCGGAATGGGAACAGGTTCATAAGCATGTAATGATTAGCACCGACCAACCCCCCTCCCCCTTTCAAATCCGCCATGAAAGCGAGGCATGCCGAACCCATGTGTCGATTAAGCTTTTTATTCAACAAAAAAGTTGTAAATTGTGATTGATTAATCGGGCCCCTTTTAAAAATTCCAGATTCCCCCACATCCTGCCCTCCCCAAGGTGGGCAACTCCTTGCAAGCCATGCTAAGCGTAATGTCACCAAACCTTATGCAGCAATCCCTTGCCGTGTAAACGTGAACCCGCTGTTGGCAAGTCCGCGGTTGGCGGGGGGGATTGCTGTATTGCTTGTGTTTATTGTGAATTCATTTTTTGCTCCGCTAGCCTTAATGTTACATTCATCAACAAGTATCCATTTACTGCTGGATAACGGCCTCTAGTCTGTATTTTAACAATCCACCTAGCACCTGCAAGTGAGCTGATGTCATCTCTCCATAGCTTTAACGGATGCCAATGTCGTGTGTATATTATGGAGAGACTTAAATTTTGAAAAATCAGAGCACGGAAAAAAAACTTCAGATGTTATATGCCCTTGGCTCACTGTTGAGTAGATTTAGTTGTGCACAATTGTATGTATATATAATTTTCTTGGTTCTTTCGGTAAAGTCATGTAGAAGGGAAACAATAAAATAATAAAAAATATAAAAAATAAAATTACCATGCCGTTTCGACTGCAACACAAGCAATCATCAGGTGTGAAAACCACAGCAAGAAAATTTGAAAAAAAGTGGCATTTTTTTAACCGTTAGCACCACGGAGAGCGATTTGGCAGTTATTCAGATGAACGAGTTCATCTATGTTCGGGAAAGAGGAGGGGGGAGACGAAAATAATGAATGCGGCCTGAAAGCCACCGTAAGCGTGAACAATCAATTAAGACCCGAAATGGTTTATCAAATCCTTCCAATGATTGCTAAGCCAGAATCCATCTTATCGGTTGAAATTGTCTGTGTTTGTATATGTGGATAGCCTCATGAACAAATCTATCATGGTAGCCAGATGGCTTGCAAAGAACCTCTGTCTTGGAGAAGTCAATGTCATGTGAACCTACTGAATTATAACAGTGATTTGCCCCGGCCGAGGTGTTGGTCCTACCGTGTTTTAGGTCTGCTTTGTGTTCACGAATGCGGTCCGAAACATGTCGTTTGGTTTCTCCAATGTAACTACTACCACAGAGGCAACTTAGTTTGTAGACGCCAGGGTACTGTATGTCCGGAATCGCATCTTTTACAGACGGAACCATATCACGGATGTTATGTAATGTGTTGAATCGGACCTGGATCTTGTGTTTATTCAAGATTTTGGAGATCTTTTTTGTGATCCCCGCAATGTAGGGTCAAGTGATGGTTTTGAATGACTCCTCAAGAAGGTCCTTCATGGTTGTAAAAGATGTGATTCCGGACATACAGTACCCTGGCGTCTACAAACTAAGTTGCCTCTGTGGTAGCAGTTACATTGGAGAAACCAAACGACATGTCTCGGACCGCATTCGTGAACACAAAGCAGACCTAAAACACGGTAGGACCAACACCTCGGCCGTGGCAGATCACTGTTATAATTCAGTAGGCTCACATGACATTGACTTCTCCAAGACAGGTTATTTTCAAGCCATCTGGCTACCATGAGAGAATCGTCCATGAGGCTATCCACATATACAAACACAGCAACAATTTCAACCGAGAAGATGGATTCTGGCTTGGCAATCATTGGAAGGATTTGATAAACCATTTCGGGCCTTAATTGATTGTTCACGCTTACGGTGGCTTTCAGACCGCATTCATTATTTTCGTCTCCCCCCTCCTCTTTCCCGAACATAGATGGACTCGTCCATCTGAATAACTGCCAAATCGCTCTCCGTGGTGCTAACGTTTAAAAAAAAACGCCACTTTTTAAAAAAAAATTCTTGCTGTGGTTTTCACACCTGATGATGATTGCTTGTGTTGCAGTTGAAACGTCGTGATAATTTTGTTTTATATTTGTATTATTTTATTGTTTCCCTTCTACATGACTTTACCGAAAGAACAAAGAATATGAATCCCTGCAGTCACGAAAGATTTAAATAAAAATTTATATATAATGTTTAATTATTTCATGTTTGACTTGTGTTTATCGTGTGTAACATCCTGAAAATGTAAGCGATTGTGTATTCCATAGTGTGATGGTATGCTCTTTCGAGCCAGGCTCCAGATGAGTAGTTGAATCTCAGGTTTGCACACTGAGATATATAAAGAAAATAAATAAACTGACTGAGAAAAATTGATTTCTTCGACTGTTAGGAGTGTCACTTTCGGAATGATGCAGATGTACACTTTGATCGCTTGCAAACCACTTTGATTCTGAGATCGTAGATCACAAATCTGAGTCGTCGTTTTAGATCATGCCATTACTGACCTGCTCCACCGCCACAACCCATCCCGTAGCCTTCGCTCATCTGACTCCAACCTCCTGACTCCACCTCTCAGGACCAAGCATCAAACCTGGGGCGACAGAGCCTTCTCTATAGCTGCCCCCTCACTTTGGAACTCTCTCCCAAAACAAATCCGTGACTGCACCGACCTTCCAGCGTTCAAATCATGGACTAAAACTCACCTTTTTAAAATTGCTTTTAATGTTTAGCCAAATTTGATGTGTTTTTAGTGTTTGTACCATTTGATGTTGTTTTTGCTGCTTTTATGATTTTATTTAAAGTGTCTTGAGTATTCAGAAAAGCGTTCACAAATAAAATTTATTATTATTAATATTCGGTGCACAGTTTAACAACAACAAAAACTCAACACATTCGTCAATTACACTCTGGCCTTAAATGGAAAAATATACAATAGGTGTTGTTTCGAGCAGTTGCCCTTGGGTGATGTGCTATGAAAAATGACATTTACCCAAAAGTCACCTATTATATATTTTGCTTTTTAAGGCCACAGTGTTATTGACGAATGTGTTGGGAGTCGTCCATAAATGACGTCACACGATTTTGGTCGATTTTTGACCCCCCCCTTGTCACACATCAAGATCCCTGGTTTTCATGAAAATAGAATTCTATTAATCTAAATTTCAATTCCCAGTAAATTTATAAATGCATTAGTCACATTCGTGATATGTTTTCCGATCCAAACAAACATGCTCTAATAATATATACATTGTCTTTGAAACTGATTGGCCTACACCAGAGACAGCTTTCTTTATAACCTAGAAGGCTGTTTTTGGTGTAGGCCAATCACTTTCAAAGACAATGCATATATTATCAGAACATGTGTGTTTGCATGTTCACCATAAGTTCGTGTGGTTAATGTAGACTCGATTCCTTGAAAAAATGTCTCTATTTGGTGTTTGAACATCTTAACACCTGTTTTATCGCCAGAAAGGGTTAAACCTATTTTTCTTTTTCATACATTTATACTGGCAGAGAGGTCCCATATGTTTTCCATTTGTCATTTAATTCCCCGTCTCTTCATTCTTTGAAGCAACAATTAGGCCGTATGTGACGTAACTAAAGTACTGATTTCTTAAAATGGATAATACAATTGTGTATGTGAAAAACACTAACAATTTTTGGTTATTCATATTTGACCACCCCGAGTGATGCCATGAATGCCATTCCTACATTCACAATGCGGTACTGTTGTATATTGGATCAAGTTAAAGTGATTTCCTGCTTGAACTGGCAATGAGGTGACGCTCATTTGTTTGCAGCCCTGACTGAGTTATCGGTGAAAGAAACCCACATTCCTATGATATGGGGGCAAGTCGATGAGACAACCACTTCACTACAAAGTGGCATGAATTTGTTTTAGACCCTGGAGGGATTATGGGCCGAGTCAACCATCAGCCAGAATTTCAACTCGCAACCTTCTGATGGCAAGCCACTTGCCCTACCGCCAATCCACTTGGTCCGATATTGGGTCATGGAATCTTAATCCGAATGGCCACGTTCTGACAAGCGGTGGCACATTTAGAGCATCCAACTCATCTATAAATGGACATATCTGTCCTGCTTGCCCTAGCTACAATTTTTTTTCTGACTACAGTAATTTCATTACCAGAGAAGAAGTGGGTGGCATTCGGATTGCAAGCAGCCAAGAAATGTTTTCTTTCCCCTGATACTATGACGCGCCGGCTTTTTGTTGTGTTGAACTTCAATTTGGATAAGAGCCGCGTTATCTGCTTGCTCGACACACTAAGTGGATTACAGGTGAATCGCGAGGATTGTCTGGATTATACATTAACCCCAGCTGTGTTGGCTTGGCATCCTGCAGTCGTCTTAAGCTGGAATGCTGTATTCATAGAGGTCCCATTCTTGATTAAACATACCGATTGTCATGCGTGCGTACATGAAGTGCAATTGAAATACTCCGACTTATTTTGTATACTGTTGTAAATCTCTGTGATGCATTTGAAATGCATGATTGTGTTGTTTGCTGCACTCACCGTACACGACACAATACGGTCCAGTTTTCTTAAGCGTGAGAAACGGTTGCTTCCAAATGTAAATGTTAGCCACGTTAACGTTCGATTTGTTTACTCCATTTGAGCGAGAAAGGCGTAGTTTTAGCTGACGATGTTTGTCCCAAAAAGTGCACTGAATCTCAAAGTAGTTGTTTTGTGTCCTCTGCCGCGGGAGTTCTCCAACGCACTGCGGTGTTCTGCGAAATGAGGAAAAGCCTCGAGGATGATTTTTTACCTCCTGACATCGCACCGGTGGTACAACTGTCATATATAACCAAATAATATAACCAAATTATTTGGTGATACTGTGTTGTCAGTGGCGCACAAACACAGATTTTAAAAAAATCAGAACATTCGCCAATAACGCTTAAAAGGAAAAATATATAATAGGTGATGTTTAAGGCAGTGGCCCTTCGTAGCACAAAAAAAGTGTCAAGTTGCAGTGTCTGACTCCTGTCCACTCGACCTCTGACCTATGTGCTATTTTTCTGCACTTGTGGGAAGTTGAGCAAACCGCGTGCCAGATGGTCGTGAGGAATATTTCATGAGCCGTATGGGTGCCCTCTTAAATTGGGCCACGGCTACGTAAAATGATTGCCCAGTCAATGAATGTGGCAGATGTAGATGCAGAGCAACAACGACAATTTCGTATTCAGGTGGTCAAGCCAGATAACTACATCAGGAACAGCAGAGTGTATCGCTGTGATGTCTCCGTATTTGTGGATCGGGCATTTTATCGTTATATGTTGTACTTTTGGTTCTGGATGACCACAGTCGCACACTGGAGATTGTTTTTTTCATTTGTGCATTATGGACAGATGTGCTGAAAAAGTACCACGGTCTTTCTGTGGGCAGTGATGGATACATGGATGCATTCATGTATTTACATATAGGCAGCTGAAGTTACTGTCAACATCAGAGGGCTTGTGATTAAATTAAATCAACTAAAACTAGAAGTGGCAAATCTTGACCCGGACATGTTTTGCCTA